TCGCTCACGCATCCGGTCTTAGCCCCCCCGCCAAAATGGCCGCCTGCAAGTTTTCGCTCACTCGGAAACCTGCTCTCTTTTCTTGCTCCTTCGCTTTCATTTCGCATTCGTCGCAGCTGCCGTTCGCACGAAAATTCTTCGTCCGGTTTCTATTTAAATTTCCATGTGCTATATACAGTATACGCCCCATATTTCCTTTGATCTGGCGTATATTTCGCACCTGATTAATATTAAATTTTATTTGCGCCCTCACTCGCTGATTATTTTGATTATTATTTTCCATGCTTCGTCGCACATAATTCACAGGCCATAAAAAAATGTGTAAAGGCGACGAAAAACGCGAAGGCCACTAAAAACTAGGAAATTTATGGTGGAAAATGTAGTCTTTTACCCAGTGGCCATTAAAATCAGTTTTTTGGACCATCGAAGCGTGAGAATATAAAGAAAAGATTTATGAGATGATATGGTCTTAGTCATTTAATTAATTGTGAAAAATTCTAGGACTTCAAAATTGTACAGATAAAGTGTTAGGAAGTATTTGGTGTGAAAGATGACAAAAATTGTATCAAAATAAATTGCATAATTATTATTAAAACGTATTATTATTCTCACTGTAATTTAAGCAACCACATTGTATTGAGAGTTAATTCAAAGCATATTCACAAACATTTATCTATTACCATCCATCACATGGGATTGTGTATGTATTTTCCCATATTTTGCGACTTTGTGCAAATGCGGAAAATCGTTTTGCCCAGCGTTGACATCTTATTACGGCCAATAACGAAATAAGCAAGGCAATTAAGTCGGCTGCAGCTGACGCCCCCGTAAGAAATAAACTTGCGAGCAGATGCCTGGCATCCGTATCCGTAAGATACATTTCATTCCGGGCGGCCGCATGTGCAAATGTGCCACTCAAGTGTTGAATCTGTGTGCGTATATGTCGTCCCGTAATTAGTGGCAAGTTTTTGCCTCCTGGATGCTCAGCCATCCAGATATGCCTGCAAAAGATGAGCTACAAATTTCTCAAATGTCAACACCGAAAACTGAGATGCTGCTGCTGCTGCTGCTGCTGCTGTTTTTGCATCTGGCCCCAAATGAAATGGACATTTTTCATGGCCTTGTTGCATTTGTTAATGCAGACTTGTCATTTATTAATAGTCAAGTTCACCCTGAGCTGCCGAGATGCTGCTGAAGATATTGATGAAGACTTCAGCAGATCAATCAGCAGGCAGTTCATTTGCTGCCAACAGTTGGCCCACATGTATGCATAGTACGTACTGCGTACTTCTTACTTTCCCGATTATCTGGAGGATCTCTGCTCGGCCACTTCATTAGCCAGTTGACAGCTGCTAATGAACCTTTCAAAGCACAACCTCCTTTTGCGGCAAGTTCATTGAACGATTCATTCGGGCATCGTGCACGAAATTGCGAAACTAATTTGCAATGGTATTACTTTTATTTAAGCGGGCAGGCTTTTCAAGTCTCAGGGTTATGTGATACCCTTTTGCAAGCTGTACTCTGTTTTTTAGCTTAGATATATTTAAAATGTATTTAAGTTCTAATACGGTAGGTAGTGCTGATTTAATTTATGTCTAAAAATTGTACATATTCGTGACTTTATTATAAAGCATTTTCTTGAACGAAATAGCTCATAGCTACAATTTCCCTGGGTATCGAAATTTTCTTGCCCTGCCACCTAGAGCATATCCCTCTTGCAGGACCAACTTAAATGGCAGCGATAAGCTTTAAACTGCGAGCACTTCCGGCACGTTAAGCCCAAGCCCACTACTTGGCTGTATATATATATATAAATATGTATCGCAGACAAAGTATATAGAACATGTATTTTGCGTCCAGCTCGCAAAGTGTTGGCAAGGATATGCTTAAACATGCAAATTTTCAATATGCAGACAAAACAGACACAGGCACAACATGCATGCCTGCCCAGAATCGCCGATGTGGATGTGGACTGGTGGACTGGTGGACTTATAGGCTGGGGGGTGATGGGTGGATATTTTCACTGGCGAAACGTGAAATGCAATTGGGGCCATCCCAGCCCAGCCCAGCCCAGCCCCTTTCATCGGCGCCCCCTTGCGATGAAATTGGCCGATTGTGTTGAAGTGTGATGTAGGCTTCGCTTGTTGGCCGGGCCAAGAGGCCTTTGGCACATTTCTGTGTCGTGAAATTAATTTCTCCGCTCTCGTTAAAAAGTGCTCTTTATTTTGTATATGACGTGTGTATGTGCTCTCAAATTACCATAATTAAACGCAACTGACCAGCGGCTAGTTTGCACAGCACTTGGTGGCTTTCTAAAGCTCGTTTCGGGACTTTTGTAAATATTTAGCCAACAAATACCCACCAAATATTATAGTTAAAAACAACATAAAGTTATTATACTAAAATACAGTCCCAAGACTATAGCTTTCTGCGTATGCAAGCATTTAAATTGGGTGGTGTTACACTATTAGTTCAAATCTGATTTAATAACTTGAAAACCGCACATTAAAAATGCTATTCAGGCGTACCCTTATATTTTTCCGCTCCCCTGACATCTTGTTTATCCGAGCTACCATGGCTACCATCCCTCCCCGAGATACTTGGCCATAACTATCATTTATCATCTCATAACACACGCCACACACTCGTATACCACTCAGAAATGAAAAGCCACAAAAGTTGCCAAATCATTCGTCCGCTGGCTAAATGTACTCGTATCTTCATTTGACATGCTGACGTGTATAGCGTTGTTTTTCAGTTGTTCTTTTTTTTCCATGTTGGTTCTTTGATAAATTGAATAAATTTTATGGTATAATTAACTCATGTTCATGGCTAATGTGAACGCGATCCGCCCTCGCAATTAAATATCAGGTTATTGCATCAAAACGGTTAAGTGGATCACGATATTGGCGAACTGAATTTGTTAAGTGGAATGGGCTTTAGATACATGTATATGCAGAAAGTATCTTAGGGATACCTCGTTCCAAAGGCGAATTAAATCCGCACCCAGAGATGCAATTTATGTGGAAAAAAGCACCCTCAACCGACGCCGAAATACAGAAACATAATTTAGATAAAGGTTGGCATAATTCTGATAAGGCGGCCACAGAAATTTATATGCTCGCACCTAACTGCAAATTGTGTGTAATGAGCTAAGCGCAGACCGCCTTCACCGTTACCTTTCCCGTCACCTTTGACCTCACCCTTACCTGTATTTTTTTCGAATTTGTTTCTTCACCCTCGCCGTTAGTAGCACCTTTCATGTTTTCTAAGCCCAAAGAAGACATAAATTTGTTAGCGCCTGCCTGCCTGGTCAAGATCCCAAAAAACCCATCCTTTCGGGGGTGTTTTTGACTTGTATATTTTTTTGGCTCCTGTTCCTGTCCCGTGCCCAAAAAAGTAAAAAAACACGGAAAAATTAGTCGGTAGATATAATGTTAAGGTTGTGCCGCCTGCGAGATCGGTCGTTCGAGATAAGTTGCTTCATATTTATGTTGGAAATTAGGCAAATTTTTAGTGGCGAGATAATTTGTGTACGACTTTGTCGCAGTGAGTGAGAAAATTTCAGGTATCTGCGGCACATCCCAAAGTGGTTACGTTCTGTGGCCGAAATGGAAATACAAATGCTGTAACGCTTTGTAAAACAAGATAACCCACTTTTAATGGATAAAGGTTGAGATATATTACTGGACAAATAGGCCATAAATTCTCCTGACCAACAGCGGTGTAGTGTGGCATTCTCAATGAACTGAATTGAATTGCTTCATACATTTTTACCCAATTTCCCCAAACTTTCCAACAATTTGAACCTCAAGCCAATACAATAAGTTGTTAGCCTTGTAATTAATGTTAGGAAAAACTTTATATATTTTTCATAACAGAATGACACTTTCTCACAGTTTTTCCCACACCGAATAACCGACCTCAACGCCGTAAATTAAGATATTTGGAAAGTTTGGTTTGTTGGTCAAAAACGATTTTTTAATTGCACGCTTCAAAGTGTATAATTATTGGTTAGTTATCGGTTAGGTAAAAAGCCTCGGCTCGGCATTTATATAAGCCATATTTAAATGTTGGCCCAGCCCCTCCTCAGTCAACCACTGTCCACTTTTCTGACCCTCTTATTTTAGAGGCCCATTTGGATTTTCGCCGCCTATGGCCTATGGGCTAGAAAATTAAGTTATTAAATATTGCTGCCACGTGATTGAGTGTGGTAGGTGATTAGCGGCGATTGACAGAATGAATTGGAAGTATACTGTCGAATGTGAGAAAAATTAGGGGTTGTGTATACAGGTTCTAAAATGAATACATCGCAGATGGTAACTATACTGTCATGCCTCTCATACTTTAGTTACCCTCTAAGATTACTGTTTTTGCAATAGAATTACCCGCAAATTAAAAGCCACTCAATTTGACTTTGTAAACAAGTCGGACAACGTTCACTACCTCATTTATCCGTAGATTATGTCGCGATGTGCAACCCTTTCGAGCAAACAACACTTTAAAATGTTAATGGCCGTGTAAGAGCAGCCCAACAGAAATTAATAACAAATGTCCGTGGAGCAGACATACATCATTAGAAATTGATGACGCATGTCGCGTGCAACTGCATTCATTGTCGATGGCATGCAACCCTTTTAGGGGCAGATACTACGACTGCGAATAGCAACATGGACTAAAACACGGAGTGGTAATTAATTAGACTTTCATAAAGAGCACAAAATTCTATAAATTATATTTCATTGCCGTTCCCAAATGTCAGTGGCCATGCGCGACTGCGCATCACGTGTTGCAGGTTGCAGGTTGCAAGTTGCACGTTGCTCCCCCCGCCACAACAGGCAACTAGCCACTTGCAACCCGTCAGCAAACATTAACCTTATTAATCGCTGGCCATATTTTCAAAAACATTTATTCTGCTGCCAATTTGAAGGCATCAAACCATAATATTATTTTGCGAAAAATACGAGCAGCAATAAATACACTTCACTTTGTGTTATAAATTGTTTATTCAGTTTTGATTCCTCCTATCTTTTTGCACATAATTTAAATAAGTGTTTATAGTAATTGGTAATTGGTTTGCAATTGCTTGTTGCGGGGAGTGTCTAGAGGGTTTAATTCAGCGTGGAATTCTCACAATAATTTGCAGTATTAGGAACACATGGGACGACAACAAAAAACACAGCAGAAAGATGGGTATGCATATTGCCTAGGCCTAATTAAATTAACTAATACTGTTATAATGCTACCAAAATTACAATACAGTGAAACCGGTTAAGACGGTTCTCTAGCTTAGCATCACATGCAACATCGCTTGGATGTCGCAGCAACATTTTCGGGGTTATTTACAAAGGAATATTTTTAATCTTTTTCTTTTTTTGTTCAACAACATTGCACATACATTTCGTTGGTATTCCGATGTGGTCTTTAGATCTGAGAAATATCTGAGATATTTTGTCACCTGATGGGTAAGTTAAACTTTGAAACAGCCCAATCCGTTATTTTTATTAAATACTATACATTTACTTTATTATTTGCTTCTAGATTGGAGTTGAATTGATTTATTGCACTCGAAAAATATTTATAAATGGCTTCTCAAATGTAAACGTTGTATGCATTTTCAATGATTTAAAAACCACATCAGAGCTCGGTTTTTCTTGGGGAAATGGGTGGTGTTTTGGGTGGTCTAGTTGTTTGGGCAAGTAGCTGCATCCTAAGGACTTTCTGCCCGATTGGAGGCTGGTGGCGAGGCCTGATGCTGGGGCACCTGATACGGACTGAATCGCTGCGGATAGTGACTCAGCTGGGGTCTGGCCCTCAGATCCGGAGAGGCGGATCCGCAGGAGGAGGTGGGCGTGGCAGGAGCTGGTGGCGCCACCGCCATCGGAGGGGGTGGCGTTCGATTGGCGCCCGCCGCTGCCAAGGCCAAGGCCGCCTGCTGATTGGCGCTGGCCAGGAATCCGGCGGTGAGTTGGGGCCACTGCTGCTGCCACATGCCCAGCTGAAAGGCGCTGAGGTGGGGGGCCGGCGGGGGCGGCGGCGGTGCCGCCGATCGCTGATACAAATGTGGCAGCAACATCTCCGTGTACGGCGAGCGGCCAAACATCTGCAGGTGCTGGCGGGCTTTCTCCAGCAGGGCCAAGGATGCGGCATCTGCCTCCTGAGGCGTCAGTTGGGACATCAGCGGATCGGGGAAGAATCGCAGGGGAGCAGTACGCATGTGCTGGTCGAAGAAGAACGCATCCATGGGATCCCTACAAATGTTGCATAGAAGGTGTTATAATGAGTTAGTTCAAGAGTATCAATCTGATAAAGATGTTCCGCATATCTAGCTAAATATTGAATTGATTAATGCATTTTTTTGCCTTCTCGGCTTTAATCAACCGAAACAATGACAGAGTTTGCTCTTTAAGAGCCATTGCCACTCTATTAAGTTTCGGCTGGGGCAGTTCGAGCTCGGCTCGAAGAACTTGGAGTGTCAGAACCCGATGAGCAACTTGTTGCTGCTGCCACTTCAGCCGGAGCAATAACATAATTACGTCGAAAGTAACTGCCAATTGCCGACACTAAACAACAGGAACAACAAAGCCAGCAACAACAGCAACAACAGCAACAAGAGCCACATTCACTCATTATTTTCGTGTTTTCATTTCATGTACGAATCGGCATCAAAGTTAAAAGCGCCGATCTGTAATTTACGCCACTTAAGCCGCCGCCGTGCCGGCTACAACAGCAACATTGCTTTTGGTGTTGCTGCCGCTGCTGCCGCTGCTGCTGTTGCTGTTGTTGCTGCTGCTGCTGCGCCCGTGTTGCTGCTGGCGGCAGGGCATTTGCCGTCTTAATAGTCGCCGCCTTGCAACACTTTGAAGTCCCTGTCGAAAAGAGGGCAGCAGTCCTCCGAAATGCTGCAGAAGAATCGCCTTGGGCGAGATCCTGTCGGGAGTAGGGCAACATGTTGCTACAAGACACTCGAATGTTGCTGGTGCGCAGCAATGTTGCAAGCAATTTGTATATTTAATTAAGATATTTTTGGAAGTTTGAAGTAAGCTCCGTTTATTTCTAGTTTGCCTATTTAAAATAAAAAGTCCCTTTTATGTCTAAAAATTCTGCAAGTAGCTAGATGCCCTTTAAAATTGCCCTGCTTTTCTTAAAGGCTCTTAAATGAAATGCGTATCAAAATCACACGCCGACATCGGTCATATAATCATATAAGTTTGATCCGATTGATTGCCGGTGCTGCACGTTGCACGCTAATTGAAGATGAAGAACCTGCAGGAATCGCTTCGCGGAGTGGCACTTTCACACATTTTCGCTAATCAGGGGCAAGTTGGGCTACTGTATCGTCTTTACGGCTCAACAGGCCATCGTAAATCAGGCCATAAATCAGACATGACCCCATAAAAAACCGAAACGGGGGCAACTACGCGCCACGGGAATGGAAATCGGAGAGACTAGAAGAAAAAACTTACCTATCAAAGTCACTGAGACGCGACGAATCGCGAAATCCCTTCGCAAACGGATTCGAATCGATTTTCAGTTTCGTAATCAATTGATTCTGATAGGCCGTCACGGCCGTGAATACGGTCTCCGGGAAAACGAAGGTTTTATGGTCCATATCCTGCAGCTCCTTGGGACTGCCGGGTATGCTCTGGCCATGGCTCAAACGCACCAAGTGGATCCTGGGCTGGTAGCGGTGCATTGAGTTCAGCACGACCTGCAAAAGTGGGTTTTTGGAGAAGAAAAATTCCATGAATGCGGAGTGTTTGCTGTTTGTTGTTTGTTGTTTGCTTGGAGCGCACACACGGCCCAATAAAAAATGTACGCCCATAAAAAAGTAGTCGACGTTTGTTTTGACTGTCCTCGCAGCGTCTTTTTACTCCACCGCCTTTATGGCCGTGATAAAAACGGTAGCAGGCTCGAAAATCCCCAGAAATATATACATTTGCCAACAGGGTCTTGAGTTGGCTCGTATTTGCCACCAAATTGCCAACAATTTTCATTCATTTTCGTGCGCGCGCAATGCCATTTGCATATGTGCAATCGCGTTCGTTGGCAACCCTGGCTGACCCCTTTTGACCCCGCCGAATCGCAAGACAATGGCAAGGCGGGCCGCCACTTTATGTGCTTGTCTTGCGGCCTAAATTATTCAAACCTGAGATGACTCAGGTGGAAGCCAACTGTGCGCCAATTGTTAGAGCAATACTTTTAATCATGGTAAGTTATCAGAACCATTGCATCACTGTTAAAGCCCAAGTAATTCAGGCCTGAAGGTTATTTATCAACACTTTAAGGACTAGGGAAGGTATTTAACTACTCTAGCTATCAATCTGTTCGAACTTTTTCGGCTGCTCCACAAATTGAGACGCTTCGACTCACCTGTCCGCTCTTGTCCATCTCGTTGTTAGTCAACTTCACCTTTTCGAAGGAGACGACCTGTTTTCGCAGTGCCTCCGGACTCAGAGGACAGTCCGGATGGGCGTAGATGCGGGAGGGGGGCGGCGGATCCGCCTTTCCGGCCACCAGCCACGAGCTGCGATGGTAGGCGTAACGGTAGCGCCGCGAATCCAGCGGCACCACATCCAAAAGTACGGCATATCGGTCCGCCGGCTGAATTTGCCGCAATGGACCTGAGAAACTCACTCGAACGGTGGGGAACATGCGTCTAAAATTAATAAAAATTTTTACAGCATTACAAATATTTTATTTTGTGCTTTTAATGTCATAAATTAGGGGTAACTTGAGGGAAAATAATTTAATTGTATTGCATTGAGTGGTATATATTTGCAGTGCACCAGACACGTCCGAAAATGTTAGTACAGTCACGGAAACACACACGAAAAAAAGCAAGAAAATCGTGAACTATTTTTTTATTGCTCGTCATTGTGTTGCGGCGGCAAAAACAAAAAAAAACAAGTAGGTGGCGAGCTAGCAAGGTATGTAAATAAGACGCATATTTAATTTTATGACTTTTAGCACGTTTTTGACACATTTCCGCAAGCGATGTCGTCGTCCTGAACGCAGGACCTCCGCCCAGCGGGTGGGCGGAACGGGGTGTGTACCGCCAGCCCACCCACTTACCAACCACCACCCACCACCCGCCACCCGCGGAAAATCGTGTTTGTGGCCGGAGGTAAGTGTAAATGACACTAATGACCCAGCCCAGTTTTTTGTCATTTGTCTAGCGGAATGAACGCCTACCATGAATCAAATAGTGAAGCCGATATTCTGGGCGCTATAATTACAATGGATTTGGGAACGCTAATTGTGCAAGATTTGTTTAATAAAATAGTAAGGTTATTCAATGTACAGAGGTATGTTTTTAAAACTTGAGTAAAATACTGAATTTTTCATTCCAAACCTTGCCGAATTAGGCAAAGATGTATTTACCCAATAACAAAAGTGCGAATATGAGCATTTCAAATGGAAAGGACTTTAGTTCTCAGACACGCAAGTACAATTTGTACCAGTTTAGGGCTGCAGGTCTGATTGAAGACTGCTTTCTAGTTCAATTTTCCATTTCCATTTCTCCCGCATTTCAACCCACATGTGTAGGTATACATAACGTACAACTCTTGTTTGTTCGAGCTGTGTTTACAGCCCATTATTGTAATGGGCGGGTCCAGTGTCACCATGATTGTTGTGGTGGCCGCGTATTTATCGCAGTTACCAGGCCAAAACGAATCCGAATCACAACTTGTAATTGTGATTTGTGCTGTAAGCTGTTTCTGCTGCACTCGCAGTTGCATGCCACAATTAGCACCATTGTAGCGGGCACTTAACGTGTTTCGCTTATCTCGATATCTGCACGGACCCACAAACCGACTTCAACTGACTAACTGCACTCGAGCCTGACCGCCAAAAGCCGCCAAGAACGGAAGCCGCCAAACCGGAAGCTTCCATTTTGTTTTTACCCCCGAAACGAATGGAGAGAATTTCCATAAGAAGCGCATTCTACACATCATGCACCGGGCAAAAACAACCAGGCTAAGAACTCAATGAAAAAATAAAGGGAAGATACAAAACCCTATCCTTATTTATTAAAATTGTATAACTTTACAAGTGATAGCTAACAAATGCTGATAACGTAATATATTCTCAGGCGAATTCCTGAATTTAGGCAAATATTTCTCCCAGTTTTGAACAAAATGTTAACACTTTTCTGATGGCTGAGCGACCTGCTAATGTGATCCATAAATGTGTGAAAGCCGAGCAACTGCCACGCCCCGCTTTCATGGGCCATATCTAATGGCGCCCCCACATTTCCATTATTTTTTGTGTATTTGTGGTGTTTCTGCTGCTAGGCGGAAATGTCGTAAATCATATTCCAGCATTTACATACATTTTACGAGTTGAAGAGCAGCCCGCGGGCGGCTAGAGCAATAGCCACTCCCCTGCCAATGCCAAGTTGGCTATTTTGCTTTCGCGGGGGTGGGGGGTTTTGCCGGTTTGGCTCGCCCGTTGGCCCGCTGGCCGAGCTTCTAAGTGTGGATTTTATGTATTTGTTTATGGGAAAATTAGGGAAATGGCTCTTACTCGGTTTTCGGACCGCAGCCAAGGAGAGCTTAGGTGCCAAAGGTTACAATTATGAAGTTTACACACCATTTGCCATGGGGTCGCTCGGCTTTCAATTAGTGGTATGCTATATAAGCAGGAACATGCAGGAATGCCAATTCATTATCAACACCTTTGTTACAGCAAATTAAGCCCCAAGGTCTAAATTAATAAAATGCAAATTAGCATTCACCAGCGAGTTCACCTGAACAAAGCGAAACTAAAAAGCAACCCCCGAAAAACACAAGTTATATTCTTATAGACTATAACTTTGATCTTATCGCCAGCTGACAACACTCCCCCCTATTCGCTATCTTTTATTAGTTGATTAATTCATAACTCATACCCTGCACCTTTCCACCAACCGGGGATTAACTTGTTCCCGATCCAGAGGCTGACCATTTCAGCTGCCCCGTAATATTAATGAAGTTGTGGAAACTGTTTGCCCAAAATGCCAGAGCGGGAAATATCTTGGCCTGCAAGGGGTTGCACCATGGAAATTGCAATTTAAACGCATCCTCGGTGCACAGGCTACTGTCCTTAAATGTCCTGCGGCGGCAAGGAGCTCGGCTGATAGGCGTGAAGAGTTTGTCGCAAAATATTGACAAACTCTGGGTATTTTGCGATGGGTCAACAAACAATTAGCCCGTCTGCTGACTTTTCCGCCATTGTCTTGGGAAAATGCCAACCTCAAAACCGCTGACAGCGTGACAAAATCGCAAACCACGTGATATTTTATCTCGGCAACCGCACGAACAAAGAAATCCATCCCAACCTGACCGCGTAACAGGTAAAAAATTCTAACACTCTGTCTCTGACGCCTTTTTTTTGTTGACCCTGCTTGTAAATCATCTGAAAAGTCTTGCCTTTTTCCATTTCGTATGTGCTGGCAATTTGCGGCACTTCTGGCCGCTTTTCACGGCTGCTTTCTGATGAGTGCCACGCATGCGCATTTGCATGTGGCAGCAACATTTTCACAGCTGCCGAGGCGCATTGCCTGAAAAAATGCGGGTTTTTATGGAAGCACTGTCTTTCAGATGCAATGTTAGCAATGGAAATAAGTTACTTAAGTATATAGGGCATAAGTATGCATATACATAAGTGTGGGGTATCTTAATTCTACAAACTATCTACATTTTGTGGCTTTAATTTGAAACTATTGCCAAGTGCGGCCAATGATCTGCTGCCACATGTCTACCGTTGTCAAATTATATCCGCCATGACAGACTGCACCGAGTCATGCTATCGGGTCGACGTGAAAGCCAAAGCCAAAGCCCCAGTCGGATATTTTTGCAATTTAAAATGTATCATTCACATAAAAAAGTCCCGCAGTGCCACACCCACTTAGCCACCTGGCCCGCCCCTTTTCGTGGACATGTTTAGCTAGCAAACGATGTGCTGACATAGATGGATATCGCTGGGAATGGGAATTATTCTGCCACTGCTTCGGCTACTGTTTTTCCATCGAATTTGTGGGGTTTTTTTCTTTTTTACTCTGTTTTGCAATTGTGTTGCATGCGTCCGTCAAACCCGCACAAATGTAAATAAGTGTTGGCCGTTCATCGGTATCCTTTGACTAATTACAGGGCCCAAAATAACAGGAACAGTAACAAAAAAACAAAAACAATAACGCAAAAACACGAAGCCAAAGGAGCAAATGTCCCGAAAGCCAAAGGACATGCAAACGCGTTGTTAGCGCGACAATCGGCAGCTATTACAATGCAATTTATACTTGGTGTGGATCTCGGGATGGGGGTCCCGAAATGCGGGGCCACCGAAAGGAGTAAATTTGTTAATGTGTCGTAAGTGCTGGGGGAGGGGGCTGCGGAGCCGCCTGTTGACGGGCAGCAAAGGGTTAAGCATCAGCACGGCCAAATAAACAAAAGTTGCCAGGCAAAAAGCTGAGAAACAGTAGCAGAAATATAAAACACCAGCAATGGGTAGACTTGGAAGTACCCTACAGAAAACTGAAACGCCTATGAAAACCAATACGAAAAGGGAATTGATATTCTTTCACAATGCACTGAATTATGTATCATTTCGCTGCGAAGTACCATCATACCCGAGCCCGCCGAAAATAAACCCGAAAAAATCGACAAACAAAGGAAGGGAGATCCTAACTACCACCTAGCGACTAATGCGCATTTCGCATGTTTCCTGGGAGCGGGAAAAAGGGGCCAAAAAAACAAAAGTTCCTTGCCCCAAAAAGTTATGTTTCACATTCATGTTTCGTTCGTATTCGCATTTCAAAAAGCCCCCCTCCCCGAAAACAACGCCACAACATTCGCACCAGAATCGAACATATCGTCGAGCAATAATTCCTGCAACTTTTGCTTGAGTTGCGAATGAAAAGTCGTTTAACTCGGTTGTTTTCTTTTTATGTGAGTGTGGTGTGTGTTTGGTGTTTTGTGGGGGGCACGTATAATTTTGGAGCCAAAACAGCTGACGAAATGGTTGTCTTTGTGTTTTTGTGCTAATCGAAAATCGACGCAAATTACTTCACTGCCTTGTCAATCAAAAATACAAAAAAAAGAATGGCCTGATGCAAATGAGGAACTAACCGAAAAGCTGTTGATACTTCCAGTTAAGACGGTAAGGGGCGTAGAGGGGCGTGGCCGAGAGCTTACAGCAACAACGTGAGCTGGAAGTTGGGGATTCGGCTTTCCATGGGTGAAAGGCGCATTAAAGTTTTTATTGATTGTCTTTCGTTCGAGGACTTTTCGTGGGCTCTATTGGTGGCCGAGTGCCGGAGGCGGCATTATGGTTATGACCCGTACTGCCCCATGCCCCATGCGCCTGCCCCACCCCGCCGCCTCTCTATCACCGCCGGCAAATTGAATTCCAACGAATGTTTAATGAAATAAAATGCACGTTGCCGGGGCCATAAACGAAATGTGAGCGATTATCGGGAAATTTCTTTCAATAACTGGATATGTCGATAAGTGGAGTTTTCAAATGTCCAACTTGATTAGTTGGTGGCATGATTAAAGTGATTTTCCAAGCCCAACAAATAGGAAAGTGGGAAAATTCAACTGCACTCCTGCATTATTCATATACTGTTTACTTTAATATTAAATCTTCCAATTACTATTAATTTTTATTTATTTAATTACTATTTATATGCTGTTTACTTTAATATTAAGTCTACCAATTATGAGTTAATTCCACTCTGCTTTATGAAGTTGCGTATAGAATATCCCTCCAAAAAGGCATAAAGTAGGCATATATCTGCGCTTCCATCTCTGCATCAATGGAAAGCCTGGTTTTTCCAGCAAGCCCACTCACTTAGGCGTAAACCCCTTAATTTATGCATTTGTTGCCGCCATGGCAATGGCACTCACCTGCCCGACTTGGTAATGATCATCTCAGTGCCCAATTCATGGAACTTATCCCACAGCTCCTTGGTCTCCAGGTGGCACTGGACGGGCGTGAGATCGTCGCAGTTGCACGAGCCGACTATCTTGGGCGTGGGCTGCTGTGGGCGTTGCGTTGCCAAAAGAGATGAAAGAGAAGGAGTAGGGTATTAGCAGGGGATTTTAGTTGGGCGCTCGAGGAGATGCATATTTCTTTCGCCACACTTAGTTGCTGAAGCATACACGCTAAGAAAATGGTTGCAACTAAAGTTAGGAATGTGAAATATCTGCATTTATTGTATTTTGAGCTTGATATTTATTCTACCTAAATTTGATTATACTATTTGATCTCAACTTGTTATGTACGAATCGGGGGCATATCTCTCAGTGTAGCTTTACCTGGGCTGGCGATTCCTCTGGCGACAGGCGTTCGAGTTCCTCGGGACTTTGCGAGGGCGGGGGCGGTGGCGGCGAGGGCGTGGCAGCGGCTCCAACTGCGGCAGCAGAACGCCCTCGCTGGCTGCTTGATTTGCTGTTGCTGTTGCTGTTGCCTGAGTTGCCGATGTTGTTGCTGTTGCTGCTGTGATGATTGTGATGTTGACGTTGTTGCTTGCCAGTTGTTGCGTGGTGATGTGTCTGCTGCCTTTGTTGTTGCTGCTGCTGCTGTTGTTGCTGTGCAACACGCAATGCCTGACGCGCTTGTTGCTGCGCCTGCAGTGCTGCCGCTGCCGCCGCGGCTGTTGTTGCCGCTGCTGCTGCTGCTGATGCTGCTGCCGCAGTTGCCGTCGGCATTTCCGAGTCACTGCAGTCGACCACATCAACGTCAACATCATCGTCCGCATCCTGGCCTGAAAAGCGCTCCACGGATGCGGGACCTACACGCAGAAATGAAAAGGGGCACAATGCATCAGTAACTGAGCTACGATGTATGGAAAGTGGCACTACAAGATACATTTCTTGAAAGGGTATATTCGAAATAAGAAGATACATAAGTTAAGTTGATCAGTATGACTTTATATTTGATAAGCAATGTATCTTGAATATAAGTTTATATTCCTAAATATTTCCAAGAGCAAGGAAAGTATAATTAGGTATTACACTTATTTACAGACATGAGTGCTAATCTCTCTTCCAATATCGTATTAGAACAACACCCGTTCTTTCAGTGCATTTGGAAAATAGAGTCATCAGAGTGGCTCGTTAGCGTGGGAGTTGCAGCTGGGCTGCAACATGTTGCATGTTGTCGATGACGAGTAGCGATGGCAATGCCAACGAGAATCCAGTTCGCGACCAGATGCGTTTTACAGATTACGCCAGAAATTCAATTATTTGCTCAAATTGCAATTTCATATGTTAATTTCGTGTGTATTTGTGTGCTGGCATTGCCAATGAAAATTGCCAATTGAAAGGGGGCGTGGAGGGGGGACATGAAAAGGGGTTTTCACACTAATGAATGCATCTGTTTGCGCTTCTGTCTCTGCCCAATTATGGCATCTAAATAGTTTTGCATTCAGCGTGTATATACATAAACGATTATACATATATATCTGCTCCGCGCCTGTCATGTGCATATCCCAACCCCTTTGGCGCATTCAAATAGGCTTTGATTATTTTATTGCCGCGCATTTGCTGCAATTATCAAGTCATCAACGTTGCATTGTCATCAATATATAATTTATATTGCACAAAAAACGCGGGCAAAAAGTGCGGAAAAATATAGAAATGTAATGCAGCTGCGACACTTTTTCAAGGGTTGGGAAAAAAGGCACAGCTGAATATTAGTATGCAATCGATTATATGACTTTTTGCACCAGCCAATGAAATTGAATAAGTTTGACTCCAAAGTGCTCTATGAGTTTCTAGAAACGTGCTATATATTTTGATTTTCCTCGCTAACACACTAACCTAGTATTTCCTTTGCTTTTCATCAAGTCTCAAGTGTTCGAAGTCATTTTGCTACACATATATTTTTCTGGCAACGCATTTCATTTCTGCTCTTTTGTGCTTTTTTCTCAGGCACTGTTAAGTGTAGTTTTCTTATTCTTTTTAGAAATCAGTATTAAAAATTCCTATAAATAATACATAAATGTGCTAATTCGCTCTTCGTCACACCTTCATTATTTCCAATCATTTAGCAGCCTTTCAAATTTTAATCCTGCTGGAATTCCAGTTTTGGATCGTAAATATTTATAGTTAAATCAGCAGACAAGCCCGTAACTTGGGATAAACATCAACATGTGAGGTATGCCAGAACCATACTCTTTTCAGCCTTTGACTGACCAATTTATTACGCTCAATCAAAAGAATGGAATATTGAATATGTTAATGGAGTGAAACTTCTTTGTAAGAAAATCAAAGAGCTGAATCTGAATTCTGGAATCGGAAGGTGCCCGTTTATTCATCTGTTAAATGTTTCTCGCAAACTACCAGTAACCAGATACTTAGTTGCCTGAAACCCAGACGAAAACGAAGCCCTAAAACGGATTGGCTATTTTAGAACAGCGATTAGGTCTAGTTCGGGATGTAGGCCTGATTCCTGGCCTCTTGAATTACTTTACTCACTCAGACTGCGTTCCGAAGGTTCCCGGCTGCTCGGGGCGTTTCCGCCGCGCGCCATAATCGCCGCAATTGAGAAATCCGTGGCGAAGGAAATGTTGTGCTGATTGTGATTATGATTGTGGTTGTGATTTTGATTGTGACTGTGATTGTGACTGTGACTGTGACTGTGATGATGATGATGGCTGCTGCCGTTGGCTATGTTCGCCGCTGCCGCCGCCGCTGCCGAAACAATCTGCTGCTGCAGCTTCGTCTTGAAGTTCTGCGTCTGCGACGGCGAAGGCGTTTGCTGCGGTTTCGTGTTCGCCGGCTGGTTGCTCAAAAGCATTTTCGGGCCGAGACCTATTGGTATTACTCCTGCACGGATTTAGCCAATTCTTGCCAAAAATATGTTCTCAAAAGTGCTCAGCTTTATTGGAATTTTCCTTTTAGTTTGCCGGCTGACGCTGGTTGCCCATTGTATGTTAAATTTTCATTTAGCTTGATTGCATTATTTCAGCTATTTTGGGACTTCTTTGTTGTGTTGCTCATTAAGAAATTATATTGAGATTCTATGAATTCATTACAATTTTCTTCATATTTGCGAATTGTTGCTTGCCAGATTCTCTTTAAATAGTTTTAACAATATTATCACACAGACTTGCTTTGTTTCCTTTTCATATATGCATTTTTTTGTAACGGTCGTTTTTAATTAAGTAACATAATATTATAATATTAGTGTAGAATATTTTGCAAATGATAAATATTTTTTTGCGACGCTTAACGACACACTTTTGCGACTTGACGACTTTACGCCCGTATTTGCGGTCTCCGGTTTTTCGTGCTATTTATCGTAATTTGCGTATTTTCGAGGAGGAAACGGGAAATTCCGGAGCGCCGTCGCTGCTTCACAGTCACGCAGCTGACCATTGAATGAATCCCAATTCGCTTTTCGCCATGTAAACGCCAAAAGCGCCAAAGCCAAAGCCAAAAACAACAAAGCCAACAAAACCAACAAAAACGCAACGCAAAAATCAACAACAAATACGAGGACGCCGGCAGCGTCGTTGACTGCGACGTCGACTGACCCCCCAAAACAGAAACAACAACAGCTGATGTGTCTTACGGCGAAAGGTTTTCAACACCACGTAACGCGACGTAAGGAAACATTTCCAGAGAACATGGCCCGAAACTTGCATTACGTGACGTAGGCAAACCGCCAATTTAAGCCACAAACGGAAGATGGGAAAAAAATACGGTTTTCAATTAGACAGGTGTGAGCGAGATGGCCGTACATGCAGCGCATTCCCATGCTGCTTGCAGCGACGTCGGCGTCGAGGCATAACTCATTTCCATTTTCCAATTCGAACACACATTCCCATGCACTCAAAACAATACCAATTCATAAGCAATCCGCGCGTTAAAGCGAGACAACTAGATAATGCTGTATTTGAGTGAGAGCGTTCTGGTGCTGCCATCTCACTCGTACAGCTATGTGGAAGGGAGAGCGACAGAGAGCGCGCTGAGGAGTTCATAAATTCGTCATTTTGTTTTTGGCTGTTGACAGTTCTTTGGTTCGTTGTTGTTGTTGCTATGGTGAGTGTGAGTGGATTTTGTTGGAAGGGGCTGGGGGTGTGTTTCACCGCTTTTCGTCGACTATTTACGATTATTCTCAACTCGGTCCGATTCCATTTCGTTTCGCTTTGGCTATTCACCACAACACACTGAGTTGAGTGGAAATGCGAGTGAGTTACGTTCTAGCTACATTTACTGTATAAAATGGGATTATAAAATAAGATTAAAAACATTATTTTATATATTATATTTTAAAATGAAATCTCACATAACACCTAACTAGCTTTATCACGCATTTTCATCTAGCATTTTATTTAAAATTTTTCGAAATGTTGAGAAGCGCCTGAAAGATGAAAAAAGGAGAGTACATTTCCTCGTTACAATTATATTTTCACCATATTAAAAAATATACAAATATTGATGTATTTATTTTTGATTACTTATTTTCTTTAAATTCCCTTTCCTACCTTTAAATTTCAATGCCGCCATGAGGAAAACCAAAAAGTCCTGCGACAGGACTTATCTGAGAAAATGTCTCGTGTGCTGGGTCCTCCAATTGAAAAATCATAATTGAATATCTGGGTTCCTGGCACTCCTCCCTTTTGTCCGCCCACCAGCGTATGTAAATGTTTTTAATTTAAATGTTTGCCCAAAGGAAACAACAAAAGATGGTCGGAAAAAAATGCGACGATGGCGTGTGAACGCAGCAGAAAATTATAGACAAAGGGAAAAGGGGCGGAAACTGGTGGGGGGAGGGGGGTTAAGGGGAAGGGGCTCGGGTGGTGCCACCATCTTGTTTCCCTCCGTCAGACTTTTATCACAATTCGTCAGCTGCGCCCTTCGTCCTCCCAGGATGATGTCCTCTTTTCCCAGCACTGCGGGAAATGTTGAATAATTTTACCACATTACCAAAAATATCAACTATCCAAATTAAAATTCTTTTGTATCCCAGTTTTATAATATTTACTTTAATGTCTAGTTTTGGTAACTAATACATTGATTTAAAAAATTTTAAGATTCATATTAATGCATTTATTAATATTATGACCATATGCTTAATTGTGATCCAAACTTCCAATTATAACATCAATTATAAAATAAGTTTCATTTCAGAATGCGTTGCATGTTAATTTTTCCAGGTGTAGCCGTTGTTTTTGTGTCTGCGGTTTCATTTGCATGCGATTCGTGGTTGCCAGCCGATGTGGCGCACAATTGAGCCACTAATGGTGATGTTGATGGTGGTCGGATCGGTGGAGGGGGCACGTAGCTATATGTGGTATCTGGAGTATAGGGATTCAGACAGGGTGGGCCTCAGCTCACTTTGTTTGCTTTGTCGCGGCTCGGTGACAATTTTTCAATGATTTGTTTCCTGCCCTGAAATCTCATTTGCATATGCCACCATATTTTTTCAACTTTCCAGGCTTTTTTTCGGCTTTTCCCCCGTTTCTATTCCTGCTCCTGCTCTGGCTTCTTTTTTTATATATTCTTTTCAGGGGGAGTGAAAAATTGCAATCGCTTTGTTTTTGTTTTCATTGTGGGTTGGTCTCGGGCAATTTGAATTTGATTTAATGAAATTAAGAGGGCGTGTTTTCCTAATAGTCATTTCTTTAAATAGTTTTCAACGATTTTCGTGGAAATCACCGAGCTAATGAAGTTCGTAGAGTGCGGAAATGCGCTTAGAGTTAATTGAGAAATTAGGACATTTGTTGATGGTGAAGGGAGTGTTTTTTCTGATTTTATGGTTTAGATAAAAAAACGAATTTTTAGATAAGTACTACTCTTATAAATCTATGCATATTCCAAGATTATACAAATATTAAGCAGTATATGTCATAAACCATCGTTCTTTTATAAATAGTAAAACGCACAAAATTGTGACTTGAGGTATTTCCATAATGTTGCTGCACCGGAAAATCAAAACAAAGCACTTCAAAGTTATTTATGAACAACATTGCCAAAAACAATGACTAATCCTGGCAAAAGAAATCGGAAACCGTAGCAAAAATGTTTGGAACAGCGCGGAAAAGCCAATCAGGAGATATATACTCTAGAAGCCATTGCGATTCGCATTGAATGGAACAGATTTCGAATAACCCATGTATTCCTATTTTGTTTACGCTTTGACGGGATTACGGCAAAGTCGCATGCGGAAAAGCCGCAGAATGGAGCACGGTTTTCCCAATGGCTATTAGTTTTTATTTGGGAAATTTCACTATTTTCCTTGCGTTTGCTCCTTTTGCCTACGTGCACTAAATGGCCAATAAGCGGGTGGCGGTGGGAAATTGGGAAAAAGGCGGAAAAAGGCGGAAACTAAGCCGCCAGGACATGGCCATCTAAATGCACATGGCGGCCATATTGTGCCAAAGGATATATCAATTTTATTGCCGCCCGAAATCGAAACAACATGTGTGTTCGAATCTATTATTTTTTGTTTTCCTCCTAGCCTTTTTGTTTTTCAGCCGCCCGCTATTGTTGCATACGAATTGCGTAGCGAATGGTTTTGTTTTCCTTTTTTTGCCGAACTCGCCCCCTGCACAACCTTAATCCTTCTGCGCCAAGGCAAACAGAGAATTAATAATTGCGAGCAATTGTGTTTTATGGCCATTACGGCATCCTTGAGAGCAGATCTCCCGGGCTGAGTGGGCGAAGTGCGAGCGGAGCGTGTCACCCGAAGGCAGGTGCGACCACGTCCAAACGCCAAGGACACCGGCAATTATCCTTGGGATCAGCGCGAGAGCAAGAGAGCGAGGCAGTCGCAGACGAGCAGAGCGAATCAATTACGCCGCCAGCAACGAGATCTCTGCCTAATTTGATTTCATTACCGCGCCCACAACTGCGAAAAATCGTGCACTCCAAACAAAAAATGGGCTAAAAAATTATAAAACTAGTTCATCTGCAAAATATTATATTAAATTGCAACTGAAATGATGCCATATATTGCCTAGTGTTAGTGGCTGATAAATGTCCATAGCTGTTCGTTGTATGTTCATTTCATTGGCTTTGTTTTCTGCAGTGTAGGCAAAGCGAATCCTTTTAGCCATGTCCAGGGCGGAGTTGTGCCGGGCTTAATGCGAAAATTAATCGAATCGGGATCGAAGCGGGCTCGCAACTCCGGCAACGCCTACCAGCTGCAGCAGCCAGCCAGCAGCAACTTGCAACTTGCAACGGCAACATTCCCAAGCAGCAACTACCGAAAGCGTTGAAAACACTTTGTCGGCTCACAGATGCGTTGATAATATGGTAAAATTGCCAATGATGCACGCCCACTGTTGCCACGGAATCCGAGTTCCAGATGCAGATGGGCTTAGATTGAGATACAGATACAAATGGCTGAGATAAATGTGCGCAGATACATTTGTTTTGGCCGCACGACCGTTTCCTGCCACATGGTAATTGCCACATCAAATGCGCTAGTGGAGCACCCCAATGCCATCCAATCCACAGGCGCAAGATCCCCAAAGATTAACGATCTTCGGTGTAAACCACATCCTGGCTGACGGAATCGGAATCTGCGGCATCCCCCGAACGGCGGAGAACTTCAAATGCTGCCGGAGCAATTGAAATTATTATTAACACGCGTTCCGTTTGCTGTCAAAATTTATGAGCCCAACTTGCAGTTGCTGTTGCTGCTGCTGCTGTCGATGATAAAGTTGCGACAGTTAATTGGTACACGGCGAAATCTTAGGGGTGTATTCTATATAGAGGATGTTTTTCCAAAAGAGAAGAAAATGCGTTTTAGGACATATTTGTATGCCTTTTTAAACTATTTTGTGTATATATCTCTTTCATTTACATTTGAGTATAAGCAATTGTTGAAGGATAAGGATACAATGCCAAAATCATGTTAGTTATAACTAACTTCCTAAAATTTTCCCACTTTGAATATAGTTTGCCTGCATTTTTTCAGTGTCTAGCCTGCAAATTGCTTATGCAACATAAACAAAACGGTCAGATCAAAGCGAAGAACGCAGCTGAAGAGCCCGACTGGCTGCTGTATTCCTGGGCGGGGAAGAATCCGAGGTGGGAAGAGCCACACACAGCGACAATCTTCAATGGGATGCGTAGAATGTGCCCACATCGAGAACCACCCACCCACACGATGAAGAGCTCAGAACCGAGAACTGGAGGCTTATTAAATATTAATAAATTGCCATCGGATGACGCGGAGTTGGATTTCATTCGAGAGGGGCAGTCCCATCGTAAAAGAGAGATCTTGACAAAAAAAGAAACCAAACAATGGATCGGGCAGACACAATGTCAGCTCGACTAGTCAGGTATTCTATGGAAAGAAAGGGGCGCGGAGACACAGGTTGTTCTCGGTTCTTGGCCAATAAAAATAAAACTAAAAATAAAATCTCTTGTCATTGTCGCTGTCAAAACTGTGATCACACCTTG